CACGGGAGGAGATCGATGGAGGTATTTATTGACAATGACGTGCTGCAGATTTAACGCCGCAGTCACGCTCTGCRCTCGCTCCAGTAACGCGAGCCTCAGCAGATGTTACAGACTTGTGATTTTAGGAGCCCCTCGCCTCACATCTGACACAATCAACTCCCTCTCAGCTGTAGTTCTTCTCTCCTCACCTGCAGCTCAGCGATGAGCTCCCGCAGCTCGGTGTCAGCCGTCACGTAAGACGTGAGCGGCGCGAACACGCCGCCGGCGCCGTCCCGCCTGCGCTGAGCTTTCCTCTCCAGGTTCTCCCTTTTTCTCCTCTCCTTCTCCTCGGCGCTCAGCTGGCTCGGCGGAACCCTGGGGGGTGAAGCCTGGATCACGTCTGCCGACAGGGCGCTGAGGTACAGCTCTGTTTCTGAGGTGAGCTGCGCGTCCGGCGTCGGGTCGACGTGCGAGGGGCCCGCCGACCCGCTTCCTGCTGAAACAGCTTCATCGTCACAAGTTTCGGGTTTTATTCGCACCGTCTCCTCCACTTGTGCCCTTGCTGCCTTGGCGTGCTTCTGGTACGCCCGTGAGAACTTCTCCAGCTTCCTGTTCCTCTCCTGAGCACCGTGGGTGTTGGTGCTGGAGGAGTCGATGCCGTAGACCCGAAGGCTGAACTGCAGAGACAAGAAGGAGCTCAGGTAGCCCTTCCCTGAGCCCACGTCCACCACCTGGAAGTTCAAAAATGTTCTTTACCGTGTTTGTTTGCGTGAAAAAACAAACCAGTAATCAGATTAGTTCCTCTACCTGTTCGACTCCACAGTGCTTGGCCAAACAGGCCACGACCTCAGACATGGACYGGACTTCATGGGACTTCTTTGAGTTCATAAACTCATCTGCTTCYAGCTCTGCTCCTGGGTTATAAAGTAGATTTTTATAGCCAGACATACYATACAGTTCCCCACAGGCTTCATGTTCTTAGCAGAAAGCATCGCCTGCATTACCGATCTGTGCAGACTCAGGCTTGTTGCCTCGGAGGGCCCGCAGCAGCTCCTCTCTACTCAAACACACGCCGAGGCCAGGGAGAGACTGGGCTTTGGTCGCCTCTAAAAGTTCATGAATATCAACCAGTCGGTTGGAGTCGGTGCAAAACCCAAATGTGGTCCTGGACCTCTCTGCTTAGGAAGACAGAAAGAAAACACACCTGCAGAAAATTCACTACTAATCTAACTACTAAATGCTATTACTGAATTATATTTCAGCCTAAAATTTATAATAAAGTGGCATCTAAACTTCTACCACGGCCTTAGTTTGTTTTACCAGTTTCTTTGTGCTGTGGTGCCCCCTGCCGGTCACTGCTGGAACTAATGGCTGAGAGGACCTCCTCCGGCGTCACCGCAATGAAGCGTTTCCACACGTCGTGTGTGTAAAACTCCACTGTGTGAGCATTAGCGATGCTAAGGGTTACAGACAAAAACTTCTTGACTTCATCTATCCGCCGCTGAATTTCTGCGMGGCTATAATTAAGAGAATTCATATCCAAAAGCGTTTTAAAGAGAACCTCAGCGATAAGCGCGCAGTTTCCCACTGACGATGTAAACTAAGACATTAGCAGTCGAACACAACACATTCGATTGAWATTGTTCTCGTTTTGTTCATCGTTTTAATATTTTCTATTAGATGTTTTAGTGTGACTTCAGAAATTTAAGACTTTAATATTCTAACGCGAGTATAATCGGTTATATGTTGAAATTAGTCAAATAAATATGTATGTTTGAGAAGTAGGTAATTGATTTGTTCTGTCTGTTTTTGCTACGTCATCAGGCTGCGCCCAGACTACAAWACCATGCTGGTGTAAAAAGTGTATAGAAAATAAAAACAGAACGCTTCTCTTTGATTGAACATAWTTAAAATGGCTCCAACAGGCCAGAGGATGAAGCATAAAAACGAGGCAGAGAAAAATGATAACGTGAAAAAAGGTAAAACGTTACCAGCGGGAGTCAAAAAGAAGAGAAAATGGATTCCAGAGCACAAATTTAGAGGCAGCGTTAAAGAAGGTGGGTTTCTGAATAAGTTTGTTATATTAGACAGCATATATATTATGTAGTTTTGGGAGAGGGTTTATTTAAAATGTGGGGGTAAAAACGGCGTAGCCTGTCAACTTGTATAATATAATGCAAGACCAAATTG